TGGTCCACACCAAGGGAAGGCTTTCTATTGAGCCTCGACCAGATGACGCCAAAAGGCGTACAGCTCAAAGACAATGCACTATCAAAGTAATAAGGGCTCGGGGTGAGCATCTACATCATTAATGAGCATCTACATCATTAATGATGTAGATGCTCAGTTTTGTTGCCAGAAAAAAGGGGAAAAACCCTATTATTAGGGCTCAGGTTAATTAGGTCAGACGGTTCCCCAGCCTGAATTGGCTCGTTATAATCAGGAGCGGTGATTAGGGGAGGTAGTTATCGTGCTGTCTGTGTTTTAATTGTGAAGGACTTCACTGGGGTGAATCGGATTCCTCTGCGATTTTCTGGTTCGCCCTCTAATTCAAGACTCATTATTCTCACACTGCAGAGAGTGGAAGCACCTCTTGTGGCTGCAGGCGTGATGTGAGCGCATTACACACAACATGTATGCATGAATTAAACATTCGATGCGGGTATACCGAGCTTGAGAATCAATGTTCATCGACGAATTAATTGTTGCACCGTCTATTCGACAACCATATTTGTATGAGGTCTGCGGTCCTTCTTATTTTTGAATGCTATTGTGTCAGTAAACGTAAATTAAAATCAGCAGTGGCCAAGTGGTTGGCACGCTGGGCTATTCACCTTACGACCTTGTTTAAATTCCTGGCCACTCCTGATTTCAATGATGAGCGATATCTGAACTCAAACTAAACTATATTTATTTTTCCAGGTAAGGCCTACTGAGCTTATATAGCTCTTTTTCAGAAGGGACCTAACCACAAATGATAGCTCAACGAAGCGGCTTATCACGTGGAAATTTATAGCAGCCATATCAGAATCAGGGTTTTATTCGCCATGAAAGTTCGCACAGACAAGGAATTTGCTTTGGCAGGAAGGTGCATACATTCAACATATAGGAATCTTAAATCTTCAATAAGTGGTATACAAGTCTTAACTATACTAAAGGTACAAAGTCTAACTAACACTAAGGGGCTAAAGTATGTAAAATTTTGAATAATATTGAATATAAAGTAGCTATAAGATACAATCTAAAAATACAAAAAATACAAATAGGGTAACAGTGTAAATATGGCAAGGTGTCATTTTGTAGATAAAATGTTAAAGTCAGTGTAAGCCCTTGGCCTTGTTGAAGAGGCCAGCAGCGGATGGGAAGAAACTGTTTTTGTGGCGTGAGGTTTTGGTCCTGATGGACCGCAGCCTTCTGCCGGAGGGGAGTAGCTGGAACAGAGAGTGTCCAGGGTGGGTGGAATCGGCCACAATCTTCCTTGCTCGCCTCATGGTCCTCGAGGTGTGCAGGTCCTCGAGGGTTGGTAGATTGCAGGCAATCACCTTCTCAGCAGTGTGGATGATACGCTGCAGTCTGCTCTTGTCCTTGGCAGTGGCAGCAGCGTACCAGACGGTTATGGAGGAGGTGAGGATGCATTCAATGATTGCTGTATAGAAGTGCACCATCATTGTCTTTGGCAGGTTGAATTTCTTCAGCTGTCGTAGGAAGTACATCCTTTGTTGAGCTCTCTTGGTGAGGGAGCTGATGTTCAGTTCCCACTTGAGGTCCCGGGAGAGAATAGTGCCCAGGAAGCGGGAGGACTCCACAGTTTTGACTGGGGAGTCGCACAGGGTGATGGGGGTGAGTGGGGCTGTATTCTTCCTGAAGTCCACAACCATCTCAACTGTCTTTAGAGCATTTAGCTCTAAGTTGTTCTGGCGACACCAGGTCACCAGGTTGTCAGCTTCCCACCTATAGTCAGACTCATCCCCACCAGAGATACTCTATAAACGTACGTTGATTCTAAATGTGGAGGAAAAAACCGGAGGACCCGGAGAAAAATCCCGGCAACCACGAAGAGAGAGAGACATGCAAACTCTAAATATACAGGCGTTGTCAGGGTCAGGAACAAACTCACGACCTCCTGTGTACCAGGCGAAGTAGTTAACATATCGTCACCGAACTGAACTGGTCCTTGGTGCCCCCCCTCCCAGTCCTCAATTCTCCATTCTGCAAAAACCAGAGATGAAATACAGTTACACAACCCACATGATGACTGACGTGGTGTGGTGAGGCCTTCATCCAAGCAGTGTGAGTTGATGCAGTGGCTTGACGTGAATGATTTCGAACCAGGACATCAACACAATCATCATCTTCTTCGTCATCGATTTCTGTTTTCCCCGGAGAGCCTCACCGTTACAGAATGTAATAGTTAATGTCACTAGACATCACCAACACTACAAACATCATCATCATTTACTTTATCCCTAATATCCTCAGTGTCAAGACTTTTTAGTTTATCATTAATTAATACATTTTACGAGACATCACAATCAGTATAATCATATTCTTGGTTCTTTCGGTAAAGTCACGTAGAAGGGAAACAATAAAAGAATACAATTATAAAACAATTAAATTCTCACGACGTTTCGACTGCAACACAAGCAATCATCATCAGGTGTGAAAACCACAGCAAGAAATTTTGAAAAAAGTGGCGGTTTTTTTAAACGTTAGCACCACGGAGAGCGATTTGACAGTTTGTTCAGATGGACGAGTCCATCTATGTTTGGAAAAGAGGAGGAGGGAGACGAAAAATAATGGATGCGGTCTGAAAGCCACCTTAAGCGTGATCAATCAATTAAGACCTGAAATGGTTTATCAAATCCTTCCAATGATTGCTAAGCCAGAATCCATCTTCTCGGTTGAAATTGTCTCTGTGTTTGTATATGTGGATAGCCTCATGAACGAATCTCTCATGTTAGCCAGATGGCTTGCAAAGAACCTCTGTCTTGGAGAAGTTAATGTCATGTGAGCCTACTGAATTATAACAGTGATCTGCCACGGCCGAGGTGTTGGTCCTACCGTGTTCCAGGTCTGCTTTGTGTTCACGAATGCGGTCCCAGACATGTTGTTTGGTTTCTCCAATGTAACTACTACCACAGAGGCAACTTAGTTTGTAGACGCCAGGGTACTGTATGTCCGGAATCACATCTTTTACAGACGGAACCAGATCACGGATTTTATGTAATGTGTTGAATCGGACCTTTTTTAAAAAAAAATTTTGCTGTGGTTTTCACACCTGATGATGATTGCTTGTGTTGCAGTCGAAACGTCGTGAGAATTTTATTGTTTTATAATTTTGTTATTTTATTGTTTCCCTTCTACGTGACTTTACTGAAAGAACCAAGAATATGAATCCCTGCAGTCACGAAAGCTTTAAATCAGTATAATCATCTTCAGTATCTTCATTATTTTATATTTACTCAGGAAAGCCTCACTGAGTCGCAAGACCCTCTCTCAGTAGGCTCCCGCGCTGAGATTTTCTCACCAATGCGCCCTGTCCATCGGGTATTTCTGTGGAGCGTTCCGTTATCTGTCTGACCTTGCACTGAATTTCTTTCTCTCTTTGTGAAGCAGAATTGATTTGATTTCGTGAGCCATGTGGTGGAGAGGCATAGTAATAACTATGCATGTCATGATTCACCACCACCCACCCTTCCCACCAGGGCTTTTGATTAATTATCACAATTTTCTGGTTGCAAATGTCTTTTTTGTCTCATCTACGAAGTTTTGTTTATTCCATTTGCCCAGAAGCCACGCGAGTGTGTTGCTTGCAAGAATCTTAAATAATCGACTCTCATACGCGTGATTCGGTGCGTCCGTCGCGAGCGTAATAATCTGTTTTTTAATTGAAGTTTCGTGAGTTGCTTGGTAATGGCGTAACTGGCGGAGCAACTTGAAGGGAAGTGGGGGTTTGGGAGGTTTCGTTGCCGCTATTCCCAAGCGACGCAAAGCGACTGATTACGGGTGGCGGTTTATGAACCCGAGGCGTGATCGGGATGTTGGGAGTAGTCGCACACACACCCGGCCGCTGACGCACTCGCTCACCCAACCACCCACTCCCTCACTCAGTCACCCACCCACCCGCTGACCCACTCACCCACCCACCCACTCCCTCACTCAGTCACACACCTGCCCATCCATCCCCCTCCTCGCTCACTCACTAAGCTATTGCTTCTCTCATTCACTCACTCACCTACCCACGTGTATACTCACTTGCACGCTCACTCAATATAGAATTCACTCGCTAGGTCATTCACTTGCTAACTTATCCACCCGCTAATTTGCTCGCTCGCTAGCTTACCTGCTCACTAAATCACTTGCGGCAAGGAGAGAATGCCATTATTTTTGGTCAGTGCTAATGAGCCGTTTGCTAATTAATAACTAAGGAGGCGGAGTCTTTCTGGGAAGAGGGATTTTTTTAAAGTCTGGTTTGCTGCGTGCAGCCTTCTGATGTGGAGATCTCTGCTTGTAAATGTGTACACTCGTTCTCTGTTTCTGTATATTTATTTTTACCCTATACATTTTGTTGGAGGGCAAAAATTGGTCCGGCAGACTTTTCACTGAAAAGTAAGGAAAATAAATATATGAAATGCATTACCGAGTACTTGTGACAACCACTGTTTGACCTTCGCCCCTGGCTGGTGGAACGTAATGGCCTATACGTTTTTTTTGGACACGCCAAAAGATCGCTCACGTAATCCCGGGTGAGAGCGATGGAGCCGACGCGACGAATGCCACCGCTGCTGTGTGCTTTTTCTTTCCACGCGTTGCTGACGCGCACGCACACACATAGACAAAGGCAAAGATCCCCCCGTATAGCCTTAACAGACTGTTGGGGAAAGTGCTGTTAGCGAGCACCTATGAAGGACGGCACGGCACACGACAGGGGGTGGGTGGCCAGCACCACGCCCGGCCGCCTTTTTCTCCCTAGCGGCGATGTTAAATACACACCGCACCAGGTACTCATTTGAGGCTGAGTCGACCTAGGGGAGGCCCAGGTCCGGTTCAGATAATTGTCACCGGTGTTTGCCGTGAGTGGGAATATAACTCGTGTCACCGGGTTTGTAGAACAGCGATGTTAAATACACACCGCACCAGGTACTCATTTGAGGCTGAGTCGACCTAGGGGAGGCCCAGGTCCGGTTCAGATAATTGTCACCGGTGTTTGCCGTGAGTGGGAATATAACTCGTGTCACCGGGTTTGTAGAACAGCGCAATAACCGCTACACTAAGTCTCCCCACATGCACACACACACGCGTGCAAAATGTTGAAAATCCCCCACACTGAAATTGAGAAAACAACCCTTAACACGCAACAACAACAACAATGATGACAGCTCACGACAAGATTTGCGTAATTGCCGGCGGCATTAGCAGCCAAAGCTGTTTTGTTTTATGTTATTTATGTAATCGGAGACAAAAAATATACACTGCGACTGGAATACTTGAGTCATGAATGCAATCAAAGTTGAATCGTTGGTCCCAATAGTCGTTTGTTGAGAAGGGTCGTGACTCGGGTTGAATGTCCGTTGTCTGGCGTAGTGTGTTTATGGTGTGTGTGTGTGGGAGACGAGCGAAGTGAAACCTCGCGTATCCTCGAAGACAGCGCTCACATTCGGATCTAATCGGTCAGCGACCTACTTGCTCTGCTGCCCTCCTCGCTGCCTCCCCCCCCACCCACCTCGCAGGGAGGTACCCAGTAGTTAATTCAATTCACCTCCCACCCGCACAACGATTTTTACATGTCCGGCGGGCAGTGAGCGATGCAAGAATCAAGAATATTTTTTTCTCCTTTGTGTCATTAGTCGATCATTTCCATTGATCGTACATAACCAATTGTCAAGCGCACAAATGTGCAAATGATTTCTGAGCATAGGAATCTGTTTTAATCGATGAATCGATACAGTATGGCTGGTATGCCACGCACACCGCGATCTCGTGGTGATCCACCAACCCAAACACCCCGCCGCACTTAAACCGACTTTCTGTACTGTCTGCTATTGGTACCTCATTGCTCAACAGGATGGGCGACACTCGCACGTCATTAGCGGCCGCAATCTGCGCGCGATCCACCGACCCCCAGAACGAAAGCGCTGGATTACACACCTGTGTCATCGCTACGACGATAATCACCAGACTCGCATGGCACATACCGTTCATCCATCTCCGTTATTCAGACTAGCGGCCCATTCTCAAAGTTATACGCCCCCACTTTAAATTCCTCCAGCGCCCGAGTTTATTGACAGTTGGATTATGGGACACACCTTCATAAAACTGTAATGTAAGTGCTGTGCTTGGCAAGTAATGTTCACGGTTTTTTATGATTTTCTTTTTTAGTTTTTGTTTCCAAGACCTGCGGCGCCAGATTTTGATTAACCGCGCGTCTAAAGGACACGGAACGTCCTTGACAGAAAAAAACAAATGGTCCAGGTTCACACACGTACAACAAAACCCAGCCGTCAGAGATTTAACAGACTCTTGGGGCAAGGGTAGCAAATACCACGTCCGGCCACATTTGTCTCGCCAGTGCTGATGTTTACACACTGCACCATCTCTTCATTTGAGGCTGAGTCGACCTAGAGGAGCCCCTGGATCGGTTCACATATCCGTCACCAATGTTGGCTTTGAGCGGGGAATCCAACTTGGGTCGCCGGATTCATAGTGCAGTGCGCTAACCACTGCACTGCCGCTCCCGACACACACATACGCACACATGCACATGAGGAAGGAGAGAGATCAATGCTGTAAAAATGTACCCAGCATACTCTCACTCCGTCGCGGCGGGGGGGGGGGGGGAAGAGCTTCTTAATCTGCACGCCTATGGCGCCAATTCCCCTCTTCTCTCACGGAGCGCCGTCGCCACCATGCCTGAAAACCTCATGCTGGATTTGACACGAACGACCCAGGACAGAGGACAGTGAGAGCGGCGTGGACGGGGGGGGGTGGGTTGGGAACTGTGGAAACGATCGATCTTTTTAATTCGCGCGAGCGCCGCGGGAAGTTAGTCCTCCAGCCACTGCCCGCGGCGCCGCTGCCGCCACCACACGTCGCTTCGTTGCTCATGACACATCGGCGGGCATGAGCGAGCGGTTCTGCGTCGGGAGGTTCAGCGGAAGTGTTCGCTGGCCCGACGCTTCGGCCACGCCGTCGCCGCGGTGCAGCGAGTTGAAGGAGAACGCGGCGGCGGCGCCAGCGGCGGTCAGCGCGGCATCATCTCCGAGGCAGCTGTTGGGTACCTGCTGGTGAATGTGTGCCACCAGCGGCTCATGGGACAGCTGGCGGTGCGTCGTCACCAACTGCAGCTCAGCGATGGCAGCGCCGGTGGCCATGTTGCCGCCCCCCCCGCAGCCGCCCCCGCCGCCCATCACGAGTGCGGGAGGCAGCTGCTGTTGCTGCTGCGCGCCGTCGGGCACCTGGCGCACAAACTCGAGCAGCGAGCATGTCTTGAGCATGAGTGCCAGGATGTTCTTGCCGATGAAGATGGTGGAGACGCTTGCGCCGGCGTAGAGCACGAGCGTGACTGCACGGACGAACACGGCCACCACGTTGATGGTGATGAGGCTGAGCGCTGGGTAGAGTGTGGTGCCGCGGTCGAGCAGCGAGCCCAGCTCGCTGAGCGACACGCACGGCAGCACCAGCAGCAAGATGTAGCAGTAGAAGAAGGTGAGGTTCTCGGCCCAGAGCGGAGGCAGCGACGACGAGGAAGAGGAGGAGAAGGAGGACGAGGAGGAAGAGCCGAACGCGGGGACGGCGGAGCTGCGTCCGGGCGCTGCCGCCCGCGACTCCCAGAGGCCGGCTTGCACGTCAAGCACGTCGAGCAGGTCAAGCGCCACCACGAACACGTGGCTGCGCACCTCCTCCTTGCGCTGCAGCAGCAGGCAGCTCAGCGCCTCAGCCAGCGCCCGCTCATGGGCGGCGCGTGGCGGCGGACCCCGAGGTGGCGCTGCGGCCGCCCGGCGGCGCTGCCGATTGCGGCGCTCGCGGCGACGCTCCGCGGCGGCCGCCTCCTCCTCCTCCTCGGGTGAGGCGGGCGGCGGCTGCGGATCGCCGGACAGCGCAGCGTCCTGGGAGCGCGTGCACCGGCCCGCGCCGGATGCCTCGTCGTCTTCGTCCGCCCGGTCGCGGTCGACGGTGCTGCAGCCGTTGCCGTCGACGTTGCTGTCGTCGCGGTCGTCTTCGTCGTCGTCATCGTCGTCTAGTGACGAGGAGCCGTCGGTGTCGAGGCAGTCGAGGCGGTCGACCGCGACGAGGATGACGTAGAGGCCCGGCACGCACACCGACAGGAAGAGCGTGAGCAACTTGCGGCCGAGGCCCGTGTCGTCCGCCACGGCAGATGAGGTGGCAGCAGAGGACGAGGAGGAGGAGGAGGAGGAAGGGGAAGATGGGGAGAGCGTGGAGGCCTCGCCACGATAATTCTGGCAGACGAAGTAGAGCTTTATCTCGAGCACGAAGACATAGAGGAACCATAGGATGGAGGCGTAGGCTCGGCGTGGCGTGCGAGCCTCGGCACCCACCCACACGGCAACGTAGCTGCACGGTGACACGGGGAGGAGAGGGAGATGCGGGGGGAAAGTTAAGGGACAAATAAAGTTGGGTTTTGAGGAAAATGGGGAGAGGACAAAGAGAGGAGGAGAAGGAGGAAAGACAAGGAGTGACACGAGGAGAGATTGAGGGAAAGCGAGATGGCAATAGAAGGGAGATGGGGAAGAAATAAAAAATGGGGAGACATTAGATTACTTGGATATTAAACACTGAGACTGCATGTATGGGTGGTTCACAGGGTTCATGATGGTCATATCAGTGCAATGAACCAGCACTGCTGAGATTTAGCATTTTAATTATAGTTTTAAACCAGTTTTTCACGTCTGAGTTGATAATATAAAACATCTGTTATATAAAAACATCTGTTTATATATGTGTGAAACAACTTTATTTTAGATTTATCGTGGCTTAATTGACCTCTGAGGGCGAAAAACCTCATAAATATTTCAGACGCGGCACACCACTGTTTACCGAGCGGCACCTGGTCAGTTGTTGGGTTATATTGGCATCTTCCACAGCTGTTGCATAATTTGGGTATAATAATGTCCTTCATATATATGTCCGGCAAGGTCTCACCGAGGCTAATGGACTTTTTTGGTTTTTCCAGAGGAGTCCTGCATTGGGGACACTTTGCCAATCCCACTAATGAGCATTGTCAGGCAGTGGCTGGTGTCGTCGGCGAGAATTCCCGCGTGCCCGCGAACGAGCGCGATCGCGGGGGGTGGGGGGGGGGGTCATAATTAACGAAGGAAACAAAAAACCCGTGTAAGAAATAATAACAATAACGTGCAAATTTGAAATGAAAGAACTAAAAATAAAAATGAATATTCGCGCCAGGTCTCGATCAAACCGACGCTTTTTTTTTCCACCTTTATCGTCATTCAGGCCGTAACGAGCTCTCGATTTAGGAATTAGCAGCGGCCTTTTGTCGCTTGATGAAATGAAAAATGTCGCTGCCGCATGACGGATTTGAGTGAAGGCAGCGTCTGCATTCGCGACACGCATCTCGCGCTTTTTTTTAAACGGCACTCTGGCACCCCAGTTATTATGCAGCATAGCCGCTCCGCGACTGTGATTGACAGTGGCCCGCAGTTGTTTAATCATTCTCAGTGAGCATTTAAGCGCACCGTTAATTGTCATCGCTAAAGGGTTAAAAAAAAAACACACACAAAACCCGCACAAAAGTGCCACTCGACTGTGTGACATGAGTCAAGGTTGTCGGCCACTCGCCGTGGTGAGCGCCGTGCCGAGCGTTTCCAACGGCGCAGAGAGACGTGTGCGTGGACTAAAAGCGCTCAGCCTTTTGTCCATTATCGAAAAAAAGCATCAACAGCTTCTGAAGAACTGCACTGTGGTCCTGTTGTCTTGGTGGTGTTGAGTTGTTTGTGTGTTTGAATTGTGATATTGTTTGATATATTCCACCAACCCCTGGACCTCTGTCTGGTTATTCTTTTAAAATAAGTATATACGCTTATTTTTTTTGTCCCATTGTGCTATCTGCATCATGCCATGAGCCGAAGATATTTGCATTTGCCAGCGGGTTGCATCACTATGTGTCATAAAACAGCGATGGAGGATGACGAAAACACTGCAATAGATCTATTTATCCTCGTTAGAGGCAGCTCATTAATACCCTGCAAAGAGTGTTCATGGCGCATTGATCAAAGCCTAAATATACGTCCTGAAAAATGTCACACTTAAGTGGAAATTCGTGACCAGACTAAGACCACAAACTCGCAACACTCGAGAACCCAGTTTATTCGCTGGTGCCTGAAACCAGGAGTCGAGTCCAGATTCTCAGCGGTGCTGGGTTAGCGCTCTGATCCCTGAGCCACGCGGTGATCTCACTGTACTGTGACCTCCACCCAGCCAACCCTTGACTCCGATCACCACCTTGGTGGAGCGTGCACTCGTACCAAATGCAGCAGTGAATTATCCAGCAGAGTGGCGTACGCGTATGAGATAGGGCAACCGAGCATTCCTATTCGGTACAGGAAGACGTCGTTGGGCTTGCATTTGAGCACAGTGGTGTTGTCACCACCAAGGCAAACGCCGGCAGATCAATTTTCGAACAAGGCACAATCCAAACAAAAACCGGCTGTCATCTGATTGATGCACTGGCTGTTTGTGATGGGATGTCCGACGGTTTTGAGGCTCTGTTCGTGAGTTTGATCAAAGAAGGAAAACTGCTCGTATGCACAGATTCGCTTTCCGACGTGCATTTGTGCCCATAAAGATTTAATGCACGACGACAATAACAATGGTGCGTTCTAAGTCACCACAACGAGAGGACGTCACGAGAAGCATGACGCGTGACATAGCAGGATGTCGTCATGTGTAATGACGTCATCACCTTGACCGCCAAGGATGATCCATTTTGGGGCTCGGGTTTTTTGGGGTGATAAACCTCTTTGATAAATTTTGCTGGTTTTTTCTACAAAGTCCACAATGGAAACACAAGTTTATTCATATTTAAAAAGAGATACTTTATATTGAATGATATTTATCGTAGCCTCCACTTTGACATGAAACAGACAGAGCGTATGCAGGAATGCTTTCAACCATAGCTGGCGAGAGTTGAAAGACTTTCAAAGCGACCGCGGACCCTGTGGTAAAGAAACTTGCGCCGATGTTCTCCCGAGTACGGCGTCGCCCGTGCAGGATCGTGAGAGCGCTCCTGACCGAAATAATTCAGTGCTCTTTATAACTTATGCTTTAAAACTATTTTTTTATGATAAATTCAAACTCTTTGTCATTGCCCAGGATGCACGCAGCCTCGGCGTGCGTCTCCAAGGCAAGGCAAGAGCTGTCTGTCTGTTTGGTTTCCCTTCTGTTTAAGAGCAACACAATGTGATACGAGGACCGTTCTATTCACGGCAGAAACATTCCACCCTGACCCCCGACCTCCGAGATGCCGCATCGTCAGACTCAATCAGTTGACAAGTGGTGGCCTAACCAGAACTTGTAAAAAATAGAGACTTCTCCTCTGTGTCTCGGAACTGCTGAATAAAACATGGCGTGGCTAATGCCAGGCCGCAGGGCGAGATTTGTTTGTGGTTGACGCGTGCGTGGGAGGATAGGGATAGCGGTGCGGAGAAGCGTGGTGCGCCGCTGAGGATGCGTCTTCAAAGGGGGTTTATTTTATTTAATCAGAAACAAACTCACGAGCGGGCAAGGAAATGAAATATAACGACGAGACTGTGATTTGGTATTTAACGAACTCGGAGCCCATTGGGATGACAAGTCTCTTGCAAGGGAGAGCAGAAGTAAAACTGAATCAAGAGAGTGACGGATGGGAGCAGGTAAATTCAAAGAAAAGTAATTTACTTTGTGATTTTTGCTCAATTCTATCCCGATTATGCAATCAGCCTTACGTCACGGGACGAGGAATCCATTCGGACGTGAACTTTGCACTCGCAGTAGTCGCAGAGCTGTGCAACTTCCCTCCCCTCGCCGTGTTGCAATGGGAAGCAGATATCACAGAACTACGCCCGAGATCCATTCAAGTGACTGCTTATCCACACATCTGTCAACAACACTTTCTCTGTAAATAAAAAATATATATAATAGCGGACGTAAATTGTACGCGCCTTGAAAAAGGGTTATCGCCCGAAACGTTGCCGATTATATTTTTTGGTAGTTGTGTTAATTGTGCTTGTGCCCCACTGCCAATGCAACAGCAGCATTACCGAATAATGTTTTATATACACAGTTGGGAGCACTGCCTTTTCCTACCCAGCCTGCTACACATTGACAGTCAGAGTTTTAATTGAAATTAATCGGATATACACATTTTATGAAGCGGTTAAACACTTTTTTTATGTGCGGTCATTGGTGACTGGGCTGAGACCATCACTTCTCCAGCATCAGCCCAGTTCAACCACAGGCGGCTGCCCGGATTCGAACCCAGTGCCAGCTCGGGGCCACAGACCTCTTCGTGAAGTTTTATTGTGTAGCCGGATGAGAAGTCAACCGACCAGGACGAGGCTCATTTTGCAAGTGTGACATGGACCTCTGAGCCACAAGGCCTCCTTTCCAAAAAAAAAACCCTTTCTCTCTTTGCAGCTTTGATATCCATGAATGAAGAATAAAGATGGACATTAAAAAAAAGAAACACGCATTTTCGTCCAGAAGAGAGATGTTTGAATCTGCGGTCAGACGACTGGGAAACTGTCGGAACGCCGCTCTTTATTTTCCTTGGCAGTGTAAACAAATACTCGATGCCACTCGTAACTTTTGCTTTATATTCTCTCGTATCCAGCGCTTTTTCGGCGCTTGCCGATGCGATCTGATCGTGTTTTATACGGCGGCCGCACAATTCCTTCACCGGCGACGTTAAAAACGTCCGGCGGCGGGAGAGTGAGATTCACCGCTCGTCACCTCTGCCCGTCGTTTGTAACTCCCCGGGATTCATTATTTTGGGGATTTTTATTTGGCAGTGAGCGCCTCTCACCCCACTGCATGTGCGAGTGGTGACGAATCGTTCCTCGCGCCGCGCTAGGTTCATCCGACTTGGTGACAACCGGGAGAGCGAGAGGGTGTCCGCAGGGCAGTGACGCGGCTACCAGAGCGGAAGCCATGTTTGCCGCTTGATAGAGTTCCGGAGGGTTCACGGTTCACATCCGGCGGCCGCCTTGGTTAATACCGCGGGATTAACAACCTTTACTCTGTCTGCCTCACAGTGAACGTTAAAGATACCCCTCATGTAATTGATAAGATTCGTTAGTTTATTCTCAGTGTCCAATTTTGCCAAGTTCAATAGTTTCACAGTTAATTACTCCATTGGGACTATAAAATAGCAACCATCGCCCCCTACTGGCAGACTAATGCCCCAGGTCATGCTCGGAAATGGGACTCATCCTGGCCTCTTGACTTCTCATTCGGTTAAACAAAGAAATTGCAACGTGTCCTCTCAGTATCTCTCTTTCATCGCCAAAGACCGCAGCCATTGTTGCAATGATCTTATCACCTCGATACTGGCATCAGTG